GATGATTTTTAGAAAATTTTTTAATTTCATATCTAATTCAGTTTTTCTTTATCATAAATCTTTATGAATTAAATTTACTATTTTTAAAATAAAAATAATATTTTACTTAAATTTATCTAAAAGATGATTTATATATTTAAAAATGTCTATTTACTTAAATTTTATATATGATTTATATATTCAAACATAAAGTTTATTTATATATATAATTTATTTTAAATTTAGTTATATATAATAAATATTTAACATGTGCATATACTACACATGCTAACATACTTGTTTTTTATTTTAAATATGTTATATCTTTTTTTCTAATTGTCAATTTCTCCCTCTTTTATTTATTTCATTTTTTAGAAATACATAAATAAAAATAGTATCTAATTTCTCTATATTTATATTTTATTTTCATAATTAATTCTCTTATATAAATTAATATTATTTTTTAGAAAGATTAATATATTTAATAACATATTATAAAAAAAGCATAAGCATTAAAATTACAACAAAAAAACTTGTAGCATGATGTCCGATGGCACATATGGTGTGCCCAACATTGAACCACCAAAGAGTCTCGTTACTCTTTGGTTGAATGGTGCTCAACGTAACTAAGATCACGCTCGGTAGAAGCACCACAGGAAAGTTCCTAAAACTTTGGCATCCAGCAAGGGTCACCTCACGCTTAACATGAGCAACCCTGAGAGCAATCTTTGCTCTCTAACTTGATGGCGTTCAACAAGTCCTGCTCGACATCATATTAGAAATCACACATCTTGTAGAAAATGCAAATTTCGTACCTCATACCATAATTATCCAAATTATAATTTAATCGATAAAAATGTTCTAAAAGACATTTTAAACATTCTAAAAGACAAACAATACAAATATCAATTACATAATTTTATTAACTACTCACACAATAACCATCACATACCCCTAGGACTCTTACATGAACCCCTGGGCAACCCAAAGATACACAATTACAGACCCAATCATGAAAAAGAAAGCATATACATATCAATAACACCAATTGGAATGCTAAAAAGTAATAGAGAAGACAAAGACAAATAATTGAAAAATTCCATCATACAAAGTAGACAACAAAAAAGAGGTTAGGAGTTAATCCCACTACCCGACATACATCTCACGTCTAGAATGAGATTATCCACTTTTCTCTTACCTTGATGAGCGTTAGAAGATGAACATGAACTCCTAAAGTGATTTCTCTTAAACTTTGATTTCCCAAATCTGAAGCGTGCAAGTGTGTGTGAAAAGAGCATAAAAAGAAGCTGATTAGAAAACTTTTTCTTAAAAAAACAATTCTCTCTTAATAAAATAATAAATTATTTAATTAAAAAATCTTATAATATATACATATTCATATAATAATTATTAGAATCACTCAATTAATTACAACAAAATATAATAATTATTAATTAACAAAATATAATTTAATAGAAAAGTCGAGCTGTTACATTAGTTATATATATTTATATATAAAACTTATGTTATATTAATAATTTTAAAAGAATATTACTCAGTTATTGTTAAAAATCCTGTATTGACTTTTCAAGCAGCCACAATTGACTATTCGACGTTTTGGATATTTTAGGGGAAAATTAGTTTGAAATCTTTTTCATATATGTCTTGGTCACATTGTGGACATTTTGAGGTCAAACGTTAACACAATGTCTTGAAATATAATAAGCGTTGGTTTTTTATGCCCGTTTCTCCTTCTAGGGTATTGCGTAAGGCACTTCATTTGGATAGTCCAATGCCTAGTGGTTCACAACATTTTACTCAAATGTCTTTACTTAAATTTTGATACTTATCACACTCTTTTTGCTAATTATATAAATTATTTTTATTCATATAAATCAATGACAGAAAAAATATTCTCTCCGTACAAGAAAATATACATATTAATATCTTAACATTGAACCTTTATAATATAACATTAAAGTATTTTCATGGCATTTTTAAAAAAATATTTTTTAATTTTTAATTTAATCCCTTCATTTTTTAACTTTTCAGGTTTTTTTTCTAAACCTTTAAATCAATAGCAATTAAAATTACATGAAATTTTAATAAATTTAAAAGTATTGTTGTATTATATTAATTTTAGTAACTACATTATGTTATTTCCGATGAAACTAAGCACATTAACCAAAAAATAATAATAATGAAACTAAGCAGCTTATATCTCTTAAGAAAAAAATGATGTCTAACACTAATAAACATTCCAAATTTTTACTTCATTTATTAATAAACTGGTCATAAATGCAGCAAAACTATAACTGATAGACTGCTTATTTTATTCACATCGTCTTCATTAGATAAGATTTTATAAAATTAGTTAGGATTAGGATGTATTTCATTTCTATTTTGAAAAGAAAAAAAAAAAAAACTAGTTTCATAGATGAACCGGTGAACATTATTTTCAAGACGTGTGAAGAATGGCAAGAACACAAAACAACCCACCACCAATCTTTACAACAAGCTCATAATAATTCGCGAGCCCTATCAGAAGCGTCATTGAGCTGAACATTACCTGAAAATAGGTTACAAACTCAAGGAAAATTGATAAATTCAAGATTATCTTCAAAATAGTACTAATTAAAACCTAATTAATTGGTCATCTTTAACGTCACAAACTAAAGGTGAATTGAATCCATGAGGAGATGGAGAAATTGAGGTTTAAGTTGTGGTAGAGACTAGAGAGATCGAGTATCCGAAACGATTCGTTCCACGTTCGATTCGTTGGGCTGAACAAATTTTAGGCGTCTGGGACTCTGAAAGCGAGGTACAAGAAAGAAAATATATTAACTTTCTTTTTTTATTTAAAATATTCAACTTTAAAATAATTTTTTTTATATTTTTATATAAAATTACATTTATATTATTTTATGAATTATTTTTAGACTAAAATATTTCTAGTTAAAATATATTTTCTTAATTTTGTGAAATATATTAATTATATAAATTTTTTTTGAAAGACATGCACTTTAACTAATTAAAAAATATATTGACATTAATAAAGAGAGAGAAATAGTATAGGACGTGTTAATATAAAGAGAAATATCAATTATGATAAAAAAAAATTTATAAAAAGAAATTGAAAAAAAATTATAAAAATAAGACATATCTATTATTATCAATTATATTAATTATTTATCTTGATTTTGATGAATTATATATTTAGGCCTTATATATAAAAATGGATGTAGTATATGTGTGTATTATTGGTATGAAATATACATTAATTTTGTTAATGACTAATTTTCGTTAAAAAACTGAGAACCTGACTCACCATTTAGTGGAATATCATCTCCCAACTACGATTTTTTCCTATACAAAGCTCATACTTACTTAAAAAAAATTGTGTACACTTATTGCTTTGTCGGTGAAATTGATGAAAGTAGAAATATAAGTCAATCGAGCATTTTTTTCTTCAGAAAAATAAGTTTTAAATTTTGTTGTTGAAAATAACTTTTAAAACTAAAAATAATAAAGAAATCAAACAAATCTTTAGTATTTTGTAAATTGTATGAATGTCTGAAGTTCAAGTAAATTTTAAAAATACAAGTTAAAATATATTTTTTTATACAAAACGTTAAAACATTAGCATGTATAATGATTCATGTATATATATTTCAAAAATTAATATTTTAGTTTGTTCATGAGATGAATATTTATTTTATACATTTAAAATATATATCAATAAATAATTTTTAATATATAAATTTTATTATAATTACAAAATTTAGTAAATATTTTAATATATTAATTATGTTTAATATTTATGATAATTGTGATGTAAGGTTTTTAACTATTAAAAATTTCTTTTAAAAAAGTATTAAAATCTAACTTAGAAATAAAAATAAAATAATAGATTGAAAGAAATAAGAAATTAAGAAAAATATTTAGAAATTTTCTCCACTGAACAAAAACTCTCAAAAATGATTTCATTGAAGAATAAATTTTAAAAACTCTGTCAAGAAAATTATTCTAATTTATGTAAACAATATATTAAAAAGAAAAACTTTAAGATTTAAGAAGGTAATATAATTAAAATTTGAATTTAAAAATAATACTATATGTTATTCTTTTAAAGGAAAATATTAAAAAAAAGTTGTTTTAAAAAACAATATGCTGATTCAAATTAAGGAAATATAATTCCATATTTAGCTCTTATTCTTGTACAAAACAAATATACAAAGTCATCTCTAAAACATGTTTCAATAGTTTTGAAGAATTAACACAACACCATATTGGATGAAAAGAAGAATAAACACAATAATTAGAGTGTTAACTTTTTCTCACAAATATTTTTTTTCCTAATTATTGTACCTTTCTTATCCAAAATCAATTAAAGTAAATTGTTTCAATCAAACATATGCGAACTATTGTGTCATTTATCTATATATCGACTTCATGTTCTTTTTCAGTGATACCTTTTGTTATGGCAGGTGTTGAAAAGTATTGAATATTAGATCCCATTTTGTCTTTTAAATTCCCATTTATAAAAAAATAAAAAATAAAAATACATGAAACTATTTGATATTCATCTCCTATTGTTAAATTCGCTCCGATGGCAAAGCATACTAAATAGTGGCCAAGTTTGGACTTTTGCAGGGTCCCAGATTCATTACCTTGGAGGCTTCGATAGCCTTCTTTTCTCAAGAATTTTAATGGAAAACATATTGACCAAAACAAGCACGAATACAAGCGCAACCCAAAATATTTTGTATTCAAACCTAGCCCAATCAAAACTAAAACAGCAAAGCCTAATGCCCGGACATTTTTCTAATTAAAAAGTTTGAAATCAGACAATGCTTTAGATAAAATAAAATATTTTTGCCCAAAATGTATACTATAAACATTACAATTTATCTTGAAATTATAAATAGTAAAACTCTCAGTGTCGCCTTTTTTTTTTTTTAGTTTTTAGTTTTGAATTTCAATTCTAAATTAGTCTTTAACATATTAAATCAATACACCATCTTTGTATGCCTAACATTGTTATTCTGATAATCGGTTACATGTATGATTTTACAATTATACACGTTTCTTAAAGGTTCTTAAAGATTGTAGGAATATCTTCTAAGATGGAAAAAAAAATTTGCGTATCAGTTAAACGAATAAGACACTCGGAAGAAAATTGACCTTGCACGAAGCCGGTAGCCAAGTAAACTCTTTCTGCCAAGAATGATGGCTACAACCGCAAGAAAATGCTTTCTCAAATTCTCCTACGAAAGTCACTTCCAAGAAAAGATGGTTTCTACTTTCTAGTCTGATAATCCAGGTGGCAAAAAGAAGCTAATTGCTCTATGCCTGTATTATGAATGAAGTTTAAGCCAAATAACCTGCGAGAGGTTCCCAGAGTTGTGAACAGGAATATATGCATAACATTAGCTGCAGTAACTAGCCCCCGTAGGATAGCAAGAAGACAATTCATTCATAGTTCGAGCACATCATGGGGCATAGCGGGAGACCGCACCATTCACCGTCCACTTTTGCATTAGATCGATTCTAAGTATTATAAATAATTCTTAACACAAGGTTTTGAGTTTCAAGATTTACTGGAATGCCATGGAGAGATATGGGTCCACATTAAAGACTATAACTCGCAGGCAAAGTCTTCCAATTTTGACAACAAAAATATTTCTTCTAATACTTTATAGATCTCCTCAGATTGAGGGTGGGATTCATCTGCCACCAAAAATTCTTTAAATTCCCCATCTATCTCTATTAAACTATGACCAGGAATCTTCTTCACACCCTTGTCTCTCATCAAAGACCGCACCCTTCTTACATCACCCCATTTTCTCTCATTAGCACAAATATTTGCCAGCAGCACATAAATGCCACTGTCTTCCGGATCCAAGCTTAAAAGATTAAGAGCAGAAATTTTTGCCAGCTCAACATTACCATGCATTCTACAAGCACTTAGAAGAGCACCCCAAGCAGCCTCACAAGGTTGCATTGGCATGTTTGTTATTAATCTGTAAGCTTCTTCCAGGAACCCTGTTCTACCTAGTAGATCAATCATGCAAGCATAATGTACCCTTTTGGGTTTTACCACATAGTTTCTTTCCATGGTGTCAAAGTATTCTTGACCTTCAGAAACCAAGCCACCGTGACTGCAAGCTGTCAACAAACTCACAAACGTAATATCGTCAGGCTTTAATCCCATATTCCTCATCTTATCAAAAACTTCAACAGCTTGCTTTGATTGACCATTGGCAGCATACCCTGAAATCATAGAATTCCAAGAAACCAGATTTTTCTCCGACATTGCACTGAAGACTTCCGCGGCTGCATCTATCCTTCCACATTTAGCATACATATCTATAATGGCATTTGCCAAAGTAACACTAAGTGGCATTCTTTTACCATCAACAAAATATTGATGAATCCAATGACCCAAACTCAAGCAACTCAGCTGGCCACAGGCAGAGAGCACACTCACTAAGGTATGCTCGACTGGAACTAAACCTTCTCCAATCATTTCATGAAACAATTTTAATGATTCCTCGGGTTTGTCATTCTGAGAATATCCCGCAATCATCGCACTCCAGCAGACCACATTCTTGCGAGGAGTTTGATCGAAAAACTTCCTCGCAGACTCCAAGTCGCCGCATTTAGCATACCCATTAACCATGCTAGTCCACGAGAAAACATCCCTAGTTTCCATTCCGTCAAAAAGCTCCCTAGCAGCCATCAAACTCCCACATTTCACATACATATCCAACAAAGCATTGTGCAAACTCAAACAGCACCTCACATTTCCCCTCTCCATAATTTCATGAACGCGTTTCCCCATACCAAGGTCACCCTTCTGACAGCATGCTGAAAGCACCGCAATCAACGTGACTTCATTGGGCTCAACATCACCGGCCAGCATCAAACCAAACAACTCCAAAGCCTCATCTGAAAAGTCGTAACCCGAATACCCATCAATCATGATGGTCCAAGTAACAACATCCTTAACAGACATTTCGTCGAACACCTGGCGCGCGTGTTTCAACCAACCACGTTCAGCGTAAAATCGCACCAACCCATTTCGCGCGAGCAACTCAGAATCAAAACCCATCTTCCGAACGAGGCAATGCACGGATTCCCCGTGGGAGGGCCGCGAAAAGAGCTCGCAGGCCTTGAGCGCGAAAAGGAAGGTTTTGGAGTCCAACGGAATTTCTCGTTGAAGCATGTGGAGGAAGAAGGAGAAGGCGGTGGTGGGGATTCGGGCTTTGAGGTAGGCTCGGATCATGGTGTTCCACATGAAGGTGTTGGGGTGGGGGATGCGGCGGAAGAGACGGTGGGCGTGGCGGAGGTCGCCGGCGTCGGCGAGGGCGCAGAAAGCGAGGAGTCTGCTGAGGGGGAAGGTGTGGGTGATGAGGCCGGTGAGAGTCATGCGTGCTTGAATCTGCCTCAGTTGGTGCATGGAGGAACACGATTCCATCACAACCAGGGTTGGGTGTGTGACCACCACGTTCGTTTTCGAGTTCCATTTTGTTTGGTTTGCGGAAACCGACGCAGAGCAGAGAGGTTTACGGTGTTGAAGATGGTAACGCGATTGATTTGAACAGAGAGAGTGGGGAACAAGAAGAAGCGGTTTTTTCATATGACACCACCTATCAGTCTATCACATTCCAAAATCAATAAGGCTTGCTTTTTTACTGTATTCAGAGCTCACCATATTGTATCGCTCCTCCCGCCCTCATAACAACTCAAGTGCCTTTCTAATTTTTTTCCATAAATACTTACAAAAAAATAATCTATCGATAAAAATAATAATTTTACAAAATTAATTTTGTTATTAATAAGAAATACTTTTTTATTCATAAAGATATATAATTCTTTTGTAGTATTTACTGATCGATTCTGTATAATAAAATAATATTTTTAATCATAATTTTACTTGCAAAACAAAAATCAAATGATCACATTTAAATATTAGATACAATAAAATATAATAATAATTTTTTTAAATGTTATTAATAGTATAAATAAAAAAAATAAGGTAATTAATTATATTATTAATGAATATAATGTTTATTTTAAAACATAATTTGAATTTTTACACGACATGTATTTTATCAGTCAAGACTTTTACTATATTTATACTTTTTTTAAATATTAATTAAGTTTACACTATTTTAGATGAATCTAATATAATAAATTTCACATCTTTAACTAATAAAAAAATCAAAATCATATTCCAAAATTCAAAAATATAATTATTTTAAAAAGATTAAATTAATTCAAATATTAAAAAAAATAGCTAAAATCAATCCTGTAAAAAAATATTAAAGTAAAGTCCTAGACTAAAAATATAATTTAATTTTTTTATTATTATTAAAATTTATTAAATATTATAAATTTTAAATAATTTATAATTTTAAAAAAAATTAGACTAAACTATATTTCGGTCCCTCTAATATATTATCCAAAATTTTGGTGCTTTTATTTTTAATTTTAATCTCATAAGTTTATAAAGTTCATAATTTTCAATTTTCAATTAAATATTAATTTATTCATCATTATTTGACAATAAATAAGTAACATAATAATTAATATGTAATAATATTCAAATTAAATTTTTTTTAACTCAAATTTTTCATAAAAGTGATAGAATAAAATATAAATAAGAAACAAAAACGTAATATAACTTAAATAATATTACAATTTTAATGATTAATGAATATATATTAAAAAATTCAAATTACAAATTTTAGAAAATTGAAAATTTGATATCATCAAATTAAAAATTAAAGATCAAAATTACGTATCCGAACCTTAAGTTGGATCGATTATGCAGTTGACCCGTTTCAAACCAGATTGAACCGGTCAATTCTACAATTTAACCGATGAACCGGTGGGTCAAACCGGTTCAACCACTTTTTTTTTTTTTTAAAAGACCATAAATCACAAAAATAATAATGAAAATTGAATCTCTTAATGAAAGAACAAAGATTCTTATTAAATATAACAATAACTACTTGTTCTAATGTATTTGTTTATATAACATACAACTTAAATAACTTTTATAGTATATTATTAATTTTATATTATATATTTAATAATATAATATATATGTAGATATTACATATATTATTTTGTGATATCAATTGCAAGCATATTATATATGTACATATTATTTATATTTTTAATTTGTATTAATATACAGTTTAACATGTAATTTTTTATATATTTTTTATAAAATAAAAATAATTATAAATAAGATAGAAAAATTGGAATTTAAAATAAGATATGAATTTATTAAAATTTATAAGTATAAAATATATTTAATATGAATATTTTTTTAATAAAAATAAATAAAAATCGAGTCATACAGTTCAACTAGCAACCCACCAGTTCAATCTTTAACCCACTAACCAAATACCTTAACCGAACCGGTCCGGTTTTTTTAAAACTATGATTTAAACTACATTAATAACAATAAGGTAATAAAAATGTATGTGAAGCAAATACATTGTAAATTTGATAAGAAATTAAAATTTGAAAAGACTTGTAAATTTCAAACAACAAAGACTAATAAAAAAAAACTGATATCAACAATGTTTCATAATTAAGAACCAATCATATTGACATAAGTTTATTATATATTTTAATTGATTTTAAAACTTTTATAAAAACATTATATATACTTTAATAATTAAAATTTATGAAAAGATATAAACTCCATTATACCAGAGAATATATACTTGTTAATGTGAGACAGTGAAAAAAGTATCAATAAATAAGCATTCTTTCTCAACTTTTAAAACCTACAATTATAATTTATTACTTTTACTGATATTAACATATAAGTTGTAATAAGAAATAATATATACATGACTCATAAAAATGTCATAATGGTAAAAAGAAAAACAAAATACACATTAATTTTGTATAATGGCGAATTGAGATAATAAGAGAGGAAGCACCGAAAGAAAGACGATGAAAAGCAGTAGAGATATAATAAGATAGGTAGTCTGATGAGAAGAAATTAATCAGAGAAATAGAAGGACTATACATCATCCAATCCAATCCTATTCAACTAAAATTCCTGACTAACAGATCCGATCTCGCCCTTGCCCTTCCCGGCCTTCTTCGGCAGCAAATTCTGGTGAATGTTGGGCAAAACGCCACCGTTTGCAATAGTCACAGACCCCATAAGCTTGCTCAATTCCTCGTCGTTCCTCACCGCAAGCTGAATATGCCTGGGAATGATCCGACTCTTCTTGTTGTCCCTCGCAGCGTTCCCCGCGAGCTCCAAAACCTAAACCCCCAAAACCACGTCACAAACACAACACAACAATAAATTAAATAATAATAATAATAATAATAATAATAATAATAATAATAATAATAATAATAAAGCCAGAAAATAAATAACCTCAGCGGCGAGGTATTCCAGAACTGCAGAGAGGTAAACGGGGGTATATATGTACATATTATTTATATTTTTAATTTGTATTAATATACAGTTTAACATGTAATTTTTTATATATTTTTTATAAAATAAAAATAATTATAAATAAGATAGAAAAATTGGAATTTAAAATAAGATATGAATTTATTAAAATTTATAAGTATAAAATATATTTAATATGAATATTTTTTTAATAAAAATAAATAAAAATCGAGTCATACAGTTCAACTAGCAACCCACCAGTTCAATCTTTAACCCACTAACCAAATACCTTAACCGAACCGGTCCGGTTTTTTTAAAACTATGATTTAAACTACATTAATAACAATAAGGTAATAAAAATGTATGTGAAGCAAATACATTGTAAATTTGATAAGAAATTAAAATTTGAAAAGACTTGTAAATTTCAAACAACAAAGACTAATAAAAAAAAACTGATATCAACAATGTTTCATAATTAAGAACCAATCATATTGACATAAGTTTATTATATATTTTAATTGATTTTAAAACTTTTATAAAAACATTATATATACTTTAATAATTAAAATTTATGAAAAGATATAAACTCCATTATACCAGAGAATATATACTTGTTAATGTGAGACAGTGAAAAAAGTATCAATAAATAAGCATTCTTTCTCAACTTTTAAAACCTACAATTATAATTTATTACTTTTACTGATATTAACATATAAGTTGTAATAAGAAATAATATATACATGACTCATAAAAATGTCATAATGGTAAAAAGAAAAACAAAATACACATTAATTTTGTATAATGGCGAATTGAGATAATAAGAGAGGAAGCACCGAAAGAAAGACGATGAAAAGCAGTAGAGATATAATAAGATAGGTAGTCTGATGAGAAGAAATTAATCAGAGAAATAGAAGGACTATACATCATCCAATCCAATCCTATTCAACTAAAATTCCTGACTAACAGATCCGATCTCGCCCTTGCCCTTCCCGGCCTTCTTCGGCAGCAAATTCTGGTGAATGTTGGGCAAAACGCCACCGTTTGCAATAGTCACAGACCCCATAAGCTTGCTCAATTCCTCGTCGTTCCTCACCGCAAGCTGAATATGCCTGGGAATGATCCGACTCTTCTTGTTGTCCCTCGCAGCGTTCCCCGCGAGCTCCAAAACCTAAACCCCCAAAACCACGTCACAAACACAACACAACAATAAATTAAATAATAATAATAATAATAATAATAATAATAATAATAATAATAATAATAATAAAGCCAGAAAATAAATAACCTCAGCGGCGAGGTATTCCAGAACTGCAGAGAGGTAAACGGGGGAACCGGAGCCCACGCGCTGGGCGTAGCGGCCGGCCTTCAGGTAACGAGCGACACGGCCGACGGGGAATTGGAGCCCGGCTTTGGCCGACCTGGAGACCGACTTTGAGGTCTTTGGCTTGCCTCTTCCGCCCTTCTTCGTGGTGCCAACTGCTTCGCTGGAACTCATCTTCGATTCTCAACCCAATTTCCTTGCACCTTGCACCTTGCACCTTGCAGAGTTCGCTGTGGAGTTCTGCTTTATATAGAGTCTCGCAATTCACTCTGATTGGATGAAATGTGTTATCGCGGATCGCCAGCGTGGCAGCGCCTCGCGATTTGAGTTTTGAGTTTTGAGTTTTGAGTTTGCGCGTTTCAGCGGGAAACCAATTATTTCAATTCTTCTCTCTCCGCTCCTGCGCTGCGCCAATACCCTTTCCTCACTCGCCACTCCCCACTTATTCTATTTCTATTATTATTATTATTAGATGACCCTTCGTGTAAAGTTATTCTTTCTGGACCAATAAATAGTTGGATACTTCCTAACAATTCAAATGAATAAATAATGACTCTTAAAATATTTGGATTTTATGAGATCGAATAAAATGCATTTAGTAGACTTTATTCCATTTCGAATTTTTCAAACTACTCAAACAATATAATTTCATTCTTTTATTAGATGTCAAATTTACAATTCCTAAATATTTATAGTTTAAAATCTTCCATCTTCAAATTTTTTAAATAATCTAAACATAAAAAAATTTTCAAATATCTATACTTGGTTTCTATACCCTCCAGATCTCCAATTTGTCGACCTGACAAATCAATTTCTCTACGCGTCACCAACGCTCGAGTCAAGAAGGTTGTGTACCTTTTGGATCTCCGATTTGCCAATCTGACCGATCAATATCTCTGCCTTGATAACACGTAAACCAAGAGGGTTTGTGTACCCTCCTAGTGTTTGTGGTGGAATTGGTTTATGGATTCTTTTTATTCAAATTAGCACGAGAACCGTTTCAATTTAGGTATTTGACGTTTTTGATCTTTATGAAAAATAAGAAACGGAGTAGAAAGACTAATAATTACTTGTTTACAAATATTCATTAATGATTACCAAGTAATAATGTTCATGCATATAAATACTCAAATGAACAGAATGAACAATAAATATATTAGCAATACGAATTTATAGTCCACTTTGCATAATGATCGAGTTACAATATTACAATTAAAGACCTACAACTACAAAATTAAAAGAAAGAACACTAATCCTAGAAAAAGAAAAGAAATGTGGTCAAGAAATTAGTACCTAGCAATTGCGTGCACGGAAGCCATATGCACAGGCAAAGAGTGCTTACAAAGTACAAATATGAAATAATGGCGTACTCGAAAATCATGTGACTCGAAAAGATTGATAGCGCTGCCCGAGAAGTAAAATCAACACATGCTGAGTACTTGTGACTAATCTCACGTGGGACGTGGGAGCACTCGAAATTATGGGACTCGAAAAAGCAAGTGTTGCTCGAAGAATAGTTGAAAAGTTGAGACTCTCTCAGAACATGGAGGTTAAGCCAAAACAGTTACCAAAAAATCAATCGAAGAAACAATAAACGTGGGAAGAACGGTTAAAGGAAGTTATAATTCAAGACCATGTAGCAAATATAGTGGATAGCGGTTATGAGTTAGAGGCGTACATGCACAGAATTAACCGCTCTGGATTGCTCTATAAATACAACGATTACGGACCTTTACAGAGGTCGGAAATTTCATACTCACATTTCTGTAAGCACTCTCTGCCTGCGCATATGGCTTTCGTGCACGCATCTGCTGGGTATCAATTTCTTGACCACTTTTCTTTGCTTTTTAGGAGTAGAATTAGCGTAGTTTTCTTAATTTATCTCGTTTAAACCCACGTAGTTATATTACTTCAGCATTGTAATTCTGGAACGTTATGTAAGTTGAACCATGATTTGTATTGCAAATATCTCAATTTATTCATCCTGTTCATCTTTACATTTATATGTCTGGAAATTATTGCTTGTTAATTATTGAAGAATCTTTAGAAACAAGTAATCACTAAATCTTCCTACTACTCCTCTTCTCGTTTTACAAGACTAAAACTCAGAAACATCACATATCTAAATTGAAACGTTTTTCGTGCTAGTCTAAATAAAAAGAGCCCATAAAACTTGATTCGACTGTAAACAAATTGGCACGCCCGGTGGGACCCGTCTTTCAGCATATTCTTCCTTTAGATAATCCCAAATTGTTTTTGCCGATTTGAGAGTCATAATCCTGGAGAAAACATTTTGTGAAACACAGGCAAAGAGACAACTTTTTGCCTTTGCCTTCTTGATTTTCTTTTCTTTGTGAATTTTCATTTGGGCTACGGTAGGATGACGGCAACGCGGGAACATCATAATCTTCTTCTACGGCTTCTCAGAGATCTAAACCTTCTAGGTATGCCTCCATTCTCACCGCTCAAAGATCATAACTTTTTCCATCAAAAATAGGTGGGGAAATTTGTGAAAAATTTGTTTCTGCTTCCATCTCCAAGATCGTAACCTTAGCTCTAGATACCAAAGATGAGGTTATTTTTTATGGTATTTGTTTGAGGGGATATTTTATGAGTTATTTTTATAAGGTTATTACACAAACATACTCCACAATGATGAGATATTGTCCGCTTTGGGCCTTAGCCCTCACGGTTTTACTTTTGGTCATTACCCAAAAGACCTCTCAATCATTGAAGTATGTTTATGTTATATAAGTTGTTATTTTTTTTATCATATTTTATCGATATGGGACTTGTTTGTATCCCAACAATCCTCCTCTCAAACAAGGGACCTAACCTTTCATGCAGCGAAATCTATCTTTATATATCACATTATATGTTATGAGTTATGAGGGGTTATGGGGTTATTGGTTGTCACCGAATCTAACATGCGGCTCTGATACCACTGATGAGGTTATTTTATGGTATTTGTCTGAGATGATATTTTATGAGGGTTGTTTTATAAGGTTATTACATAAACATACTCTACAATGATGATGAGATATTGTTCACTTTGGGTCTTAGCCCTCACGGTTTTTCTTTTGGTCATTACCCAAAAGGCCTCTCAATCATTAAAGTATGTTTATGTTATATAAATTGTTATTTTTTTTATCATATTTTATCAATGTGAGACTTATTTGTATCCCAATAATTTAATGTACAAAGTGAGATATTGAATGATTCTTATGGTCTTCCAGCAGTTTGGGGGATCATTGGAATTTGCTTTTATACCAGCAAATTCTTTTTTGAACTAGCAGGTATGTACTTATAGGAATTGTTGTAATTTCTTCTTCTTCCTCTTCTTGTTGATCTTCAACAATGTTGGCTTCTTCTTGTTGCTCATGAGATTTGCATACATGTTTTAGGTGTCCTAATTTTTCGCAATTGTCACATTTTACATCAGGTCTCCACGAACATCTCTGTTGTGGATGATTAGTCTTTTTGCAATAAGGACATGGTGGAAAAATTTGAGTGTTATTATATTGACTGTTCTCTTGAAACAATTCCTTCTTCTTGTTTTTGCCACTATTTTTGTTCTTCCATTTGGCTAAATATACACCCTCCATAGATCCTTCTTCTCTCATAAGCCTCCTTTATTCTGATGCTTGCAATGCATATAACACCTCTGCCAAAGTGATCTTACTCAGATCCTTTGTGTTCTCCAAAGCCGCTATTGAAGCTTCATATCTTTCAGGTATAGTTACTAGAATTTTTTCAACAATTCTAGAATCAAGAAATTGTGTTCCTAGTAATCGTATCTTATTAGCAATGCCAAACAATTTGTCTGAGTATTGTTTGATTGTCTCAGTCTCCTTCATTCTTTGTATTTCAAATTCTCTCATAATTTAATACTTGCATGCTTTGAATCCTTTCATCTTCAGCATATTCTTCCTTTAGATAATCCCAAATTGTTTTTGCCGATTTGAGAGTCATAATCCTGGAGAAAACATTTTGTGAAACACAGGCAAAGAGACAACTTTTTGCCTTTGCCTTCTTGATTTTCTTTTCTTTGTGAATTTTCATTTGGGCTACGGTAGGATGACGGCAACGCGGGAACATCATAATCTTCTTCTACGGCTTCTCAGAGATCTAAACCTTCTAGGTATGCCTCCATTCTCACCGCTCAAAGATCATAACTTTTTCCATCAAAAATAGGTGGGGAAATTTGTGAAAAATTTGTTTCTGCTTCCATCTCCAAGATCGTAACCTTAGCTCTAGATACCAAAGATGAGGTTATTTTTTATGGTATTTGTTTGAGGGGATATTTTATGAGTTATTTTTATAAGGTTATTACACAAACATACTCCACAATGATGAGATATTGTCCGCTTTGGGCCTTAGCCCTCACGGTTTTACTTTTGGTCATTACCCAAAAGACCTCTCAATCATTGAAGTATGTTTATGTTATATAAGTTGTTATTTTTTTTATCATATTTTATCGATATGGGACTTGTTTGTATCCCAACAATCCTCCTCTCAAACAAGGGACCTAACCTTTCATGCAGCGAAATCTATCTTTATATATCACATTATATGTTATGAGTTATGAGGGGTTATGGGGTTATTGGTTGTCACCGAATCTAACATGCGGCTCTGATACCACTGATGAGGTTATTTTATGGTATTTGTCTGAGATGATATTTTATGAGGGTTGTTTTATAAGGTTATTACATAAACATACTCTACAATGATGATGAGATATTGTTCACTTTGGGTCTTAGCCCTCACGGTTTTTCTTTTGGTCATTACCCAAAAGGCCTCTCAATCATTAAAGTATGTTTATGTTATATAAATTGTTATTTTTTTTATCATATTTTATCAATGTGAGACTTATTTGTATCCCAATAATTTAATGTACAAAGTGAGATATTGAATGATTCTTATGGTCTTCCAGCAGTTTGGGGGATCATTGGAATTTGCTTTTATACCAGCAAATTCTTTTTTGAACTAGCAGGTATGTACTTATAGGAATTGTTGTAATCATATATGGTTCAAAGTCTGCATTTCGAGTCTATGACACCGTCATACTTTATTGCACATCACCATTTCGTATAATCAATAACTCACTGCTACACTTCCCATTGGAAACTGACAAACTGTTGAATAAACTTCATGAAGCATTCGAATTTTTTATTTTATTTTTTGGCAATGAATATTTTGTGGATTTTATGTCAGGATTTTCTCCCACCATCGG